GGGGGGGGGGTGGGGGGGGGGGGGGGGGAGAAAGGAAGAGGGTTATGCAGACGACGAAAGATTGGTTTAGGGATTGGCCAGAGGGAACGACTTCCTCGATTCTAACGCATACCTATACAGTACAGCGCCCGCCAAGGTCTCCCGTTCGCTGAAACGACCACAACGCTGCAGTCCAAGCCTCTGCAAAAAACAGCGGGGACCCCGTGACCTCGACCCCCCCCCCCCCCCCCCCCCCCCCCCCCCCCCCCCCCCCCCCCCCCCCCCCCCCCCCCNCTGGTGGTGCAAAACAAACAGCAAGCTCTTCGCCGGACCGATGTGGTCCACGGTAACGGGAGCTGCAACAACAGCTTCCACGACCCTAACAGGACAAAACATGAACTATCCATGCAGGATATTCCTTGTCTTGCTAAGAAGTACCCGCTACTCGAGCTACCCTACAAATCATTCCTCACCGCCCAACACAAAAAAAAATCTGACCTGTCGGAGCGATTCCGCGTAGCCCCTGAACCCGGACCGTTCTCCCTCCAACGCTCGCTCGACGCACGCCGCGAGTGCCTCCCCCGCCGTGGCAGGCGTCGCCCCGTCCTTCAGGACAGGGGACGCCCCGACGAGGGCGAGCGACGCTCCCACAGGGTCCGAGCACCAGCAGCCGTTGTACAGCCTCGAGGTGAGCACGTATGCGTATGCGAGGTCGGTGGCGAGGGCCGGAAGGGTCGGAGACGGCTCCCTCGCGTTGATCGTGGAGAACCCAGGGGCCTGGAAGGCCTGGCTCAGCAGCGCCGCGAACGAGTGCCGCGTGCACGACGACGACGAGCCCTCCTCCTCCTCGTCGCCAGTTGCTGCCGCCGCCGCCGTACCTCTGCGGCTTGCGGGGAACCCTGGACCAGACGACGACGACGACTGCTCCGGGGTAGAAGGTCGCGTCGGAGGGGAAGACCCCGGAGCCCCTGATGACGGGGTCCCGAAAGACGAGCACACTGCGTGGTGTTTGTGATGGCGGCAGGGGTCGACGACGGGCGGCGGCAACGAGTGGCTCGTGCGTCCGCCGGCGGTGATCGGGGCCACTTCCTGCACCCCGGCCGCCTGGGTCCACCAGGGCACCCACGGGACGATCAGCTTCCCCAGCCGCCCGCTGGCCACCTCCCTGAAGAACCTCCCCTTCTCCTCCTCCGTCAGTAGGCCTAGTATCCCGTCATCGTCGCCGTTGTCGACTAGACGCCGCCGTTGCCGCTGCTGCTGCTGCTGTTCGCGTTCCTTCACCCGACTGTCTTCAAAACCGCCCGGCCTCGCCTTTACTGCATCCCCACCCGCCCTCGCCTCCTGTTGCGCCCTCCGGCTGCCCCTCCTGGGCAGCTCCCCTCCCCCGCCCGCTACCACACCGCGACGGTTCGAAGAGGAAGGCGCCCGTGCGTCGGAGGAGGAGGAGGAGGAGTTAGAGGAGGAGGGCAATGATCGGCCGATCTTGGAACCGCGAGAAGCGTTAACCTTAACGGCGGCGGGGTCAACGATCACGGTGTTCGCGCTGGAGGCGGTTGTGGAAGCAGCAGCACCAGTAGCAGCAGCAGCACCAGCAGCACCAGCAGCAGCGGCGGTGGAAGGACTGTCGGCGGAGAAAGAAGAAGATTTCACCGGCAGCGCGTGGCCGCGGTCCTTCAGTGCCAGCGCCAGCGCGTCCAGCCGCTCCGGCTGGAACATTAGCTCCCCGTCCTCATCCTCACCGACCTCCCCCTCCTCGGCGTGAGGGCCGGCACCACCGTTGCCGTCGCCACCCCGGTCCGTAAGCCGGATGCGTCTCAGAACCTCCACCATGCTCGCCCGCCGTCCCGCCTTGGGACCCTTGACGCCGCTACCGCGCTCGACTTCGTCGCCCTCTCTGAGCCGAGTCTCGCGCTCGACGTGCCCGCGAAAGAACGCCTCCGTGCAGCCCGACCCGTGCACCTGATTTTTTTTAAGTGGGAAACAACTTCGGTTGGCGTTTCGTCGGGGTTTGTTGGGGTGATACTAGGAGCCTTGCGTTGGCAGCAGTTGACCGAGTGAGCAAGGAAAGGAACGACGACTCGAGCGGTTCGGAACGCGCTCGTCAGCATCAAAATAGGAAGCCCGTGGTTGATTGAAGCCTACCCAGTTGAGGTGAGCAACGAAGCGATGCGAGGTAGCGCCATTTCTGTGGGGGTTAGGTTTGGTTTGTGCGCCTTTTCCTCCCTGTTCCATTACGGTTCGCATTTCGGCGCCGCCGTTGTTTCGACAAAACACGTCACCTATTGTAGGCAATAATGATCCGGCTGTCGCTACTGCTATCTCCGTGTTTAGACTTCAGCGCACACACCCGCCAGGCACCCCTCAATCCTAACCGGTGCAAAGGCGGTTGAACACAAAGCTGCCAACCGGTCAACGGCTCATTCAACGGGTAAAATCTATCTTTGCTGATATCGTTTTCAGCCATTATCAAATGAAACTACGGCTACAAGAGAAAACGGTCTACTTTCCACCGAGCGTACGGCTTGAACGGCAGTCGCGCTGCTGCTGGTGCTCTCAGCGCTCAGCTTCACGAACAAAGTTGACATGGTTTTTGAGGTTGGTCGGCTGTGGAACTAGTATCCATGCAAGTTGGACACCACTTGCACCACAAGAAGGGCGACAGCAGGGGCGGATGCCGTCAGGTAAATTTGTCACTTGCGATCCATGCGTGTGAATCTCAACAGTTGCTCCGCAATAATGTAGCAGTCGATGCGTGCGAGTTTCCCGGGAGCCCTATCCCCAACCGCTCTGTCTGTTGCTGCCCTTTCGTGGCGCGAAGTAAGATGGACTGGGTCGTGAGGTCGCACAACTTGTACAATATGTGTTCGCTCGGAATACGCTGCTTCGCACCACAAATGTTACCAACAAGCATAATGTGGTCACGCTGTCGCGTGTTTTTTACGCTCATTTTGTTCTCGTCTTCGAACACAACCTGGGTCCAGGTGCCTGGCTCCAGGTGTACCATGATCATGGCAGATATTGGTCCTCCCGTCCTGCTGTAAGGACTTTCCACAGAACTCGCGCAGCCGCCGTGTGGCACTACAGGCTCGAGTAGGAAGGCTGCTGCTGTAGTCTGAAACGGGTGGGAGGCGGCGGCCGGACCTTCTGGACATACGAGACGCGCTCGTCTTTCCTGAACTACTTACTGCTGCAACATTGACTCTCCGCTTTAATAGGTTATGGTGGGAGCGTCGTCACCGCGGACAACGTTGTTGGGTTGAAACAAAATGTAATGTGCACTGGCCAAAAGGGATTGAATTCGGGGAATCAATTACATCTCGCCACCACAACACCCGCCGTTTTCTAAGACCCGCCCGAAATACGTCGTGATTTACCGGTCCGAATAGGGGCTATGTAGATATGAAGCGGGGCCTCCCGATGCAAAAGGCCCGAAGGCCAACCAACGGACAGCAGCGGGGAGGCTTTGTCAGCAGCATCCACACTTCATCCACTCGGTCCCCTCCTGCTGTCATGTGCATCCATCTGCCGATCCATGCCAACCGTTAGGAAAAAGTAACTTTCTCGCCCTCCTCTGCCTCTGCGAGGGCTATGTGCACCCCAGCACGTTGCACAGGCTACTACACTCCACGGGCACACCTGAGGAGACGTGGCTGCTGTAATGTAATCGCCACGATTAGACTGACCTTGTAGCACTTGGAAGAGCAGTATCCAACGAGACACCTCGGGCAAGAGTAGTCCGCCGAGGCACGGGCGCAGACGGAGCAAACTCGGCCTCCCCGCCCCGCTCCCGCCGCTGCCAGCGTCGCACCCTGTCCTTCCGCTCCTGCTCTGACGGGAACAACAACCCTCAGCTCGTTGTCTTTGTCTTTTGCGTCCTTCTTCCCCTGCACCCCTGCAGCCATGAGAGGAGATGCTTCAGCCCCAGAGACATCTGCAGCAACAGCAGCACCCTTTACATCATATTTCTTCACGCGCCGTTGCCCTGCCCTAGGTCGCACTGACAGCGGCGTGATTCCTATGGGAGATCGCCGCCACTCTTGCTGCTGGGTTGATGCGGCCATCTGATCAAGCATGCTCGGCGAGGCGAGGCGAGGCGAATTGGGAAAAGACGTGGAAAACGTGATGGTGTGATGCGGCAAGCAGTTCATTCTTATTGCCGGGCCTATGGGGCTCCGTAGATTATGGATACTGCTGTACTACATTAGTAATTGCGCCGCGTTTCAGGAGCAATGGCAACTCCGCAGCACCGTCCGTACACAGTAAGCAGTACTCTGCAACACCGCACACAGCAAGCAGTACATCGCTGCGCTGCCGCAGCCGTCAACACACTAAACCATGAGGAGCTGGGATGCCGTCGTTGCTGGTCTTCTGCTTTGTGCTTGCAGTGCTCCAACAGGGGAGTCCTTCCACTTTCCCCCGTCATCCCGGTGGACATCATGGTCGTCGGCCTCATCCTCCCACAGCGGGCGATCTGCCACCTCATCTGCTGATGTTCCTGCCGCTACCACTCGGCGTAGCTCGAGACATCACTCGCCACGACGGTCCAGGCGAATCAGCAGACGGAGCTCGAAGATTCGCATGGCCGAGGATGGAGCAACAGCAGCCACGCAACAGCAGTACACGGCTCAAGACCTCGAAGCGCTCTCCCGCAGCGAGCTGCAAGGCTTATGCAAGAAGCTTAACCTACGAGCAGTCGGCAAGACCTCGGAGCTGCTGTCAAGAGTGCTGGAGAGCGACGATCATGCTCGCAGGGAGAAAGCCTTGGGCACCAAACCCGCCACCACAGAATCGACTGCTTCTTCTTCTCCGAAAGACGAGGCGCCCATGGGCGAGTCAACGATGGCAGAACTGCTCTCGTCCGTTGACGATGGCGGTAACAACACCAACTACAGCAGTGGTAGTCAGGAGAAGGCGACACCAACACCAACAGCAGCGGCAGCGGGGGCGGCCGCTCCATCGACTGATTTCTTCCTGGAAGATATCCGCCCGGTGTTTGACGAGCTGTCGGACGAGCAGTGGGCGAAGGTGGGGCAGCTGGGGCAGCTCCTGACCGAGTGGAACGGCAAGATGAACCTCATCTCCCGGAAGGATATCGCTAACGTCATGCCGCGGCACGTGGTCCCGTGTCTTGCCATGGCCAAGGCGCTCGACTTTGAGGACGGCACTTATGGTGAAATGCGCGGAGCGGGGGAAGAGTCAACTATATTGTAGAGGGAGAGGGGGGGGGCAGGAGAGAGTGTTACATGCTGCCGCGGAGTGACGCAGAGGGAGGTCGCCGCGCGCGTGTCGATGCTGTACAACCCACAACGAACGACACGGGCGACGCTCAACAGTTTGTACGACATGGACTCGTTTGGTCAGCTACAAACCCCTCTTTGTTTCTTCCAGAGCGCGTATTTGCCGGCTCTTGCAACACACAACATTCCACAAACATGTAACGCCCGTGTCTCCGAGCCCCGAAAGCCCGGACGAAAAAAGCGAACCATCAAATCACACACGCCGTCACTGCACCCCTACCATGAAGTCCGTCAAGAACCCTACCCCCTGATCCCCAACCGCCTCCCCGACGTGAATACCTTCCTTCGCTTTCTTGGTCAGTGCTAGACGTTGGCACGGGAGGAGGCCTCCCCGGCCTCCCGCTAGCGATTTGCTTCCCGATGGTGAAGTTCACGCTTATCGACGGGAGGGGTAAGAAGATAAAGGCCGTGGCCGACATGGCGGACCGGCTGGGCCTTAGGAATGTGAGGACGTTTCACGTCAGGGCAGAAGAGGTGAGAAGTTTGTTCAATCCGCCCCGGTGTGTCACAACCACCTTTATGCTACCGCTGTAGAGTGAAAGTGGCCGCTCGGTCTTGTTCACGCTTAAGCACGGCCACGTCCTACTTTTTGTGTCTTCACGAAGAGTTGCCGCGCAACACGGATTTGTGGCGGCGAGGTTGCCAACCAGCGGTGCGCTTTCCCTAGGTGCAGGGTTGGTGCGTTGGGTTTCGTGGAGAGGACCAGAACGAATGAATTGATGGAACCACGAAGGGTTTTGATGACAGGAATTAGACCTGGACATCGGACAGGACGCGTTTTCTTGTCTGTCGTGCGCGCATGTGAAAATGTACATATAAACCTCGCCGCAACACCTACGGCATGTGTGATGCCTGTTCTTGTCGGTGGCCTTTGCATACTCCTTGATTTATTTATTTCTGGTGTCTCTAACCGTTATCATATCTTCATTCCGCCCTTGACTCAAACCCGCCTTTGGTCTGCCTACTCCCACACGCCCGACGCCACCGCCGCGACCTGAACACCGCCATGTCGGCTTCCACCACCGCCGCCATGGTCATCATCGTCAGGTCTACGAAGCGTTCGACTTTGTCATGGGCAGGGCGGTGACCAACCTCCCGAAGTTCGTCGGCTTCATCGACAAGAACTTGAAACCGAACGACGGCCGGACAAGCAACCCGGCCGATAGCAGCAGCAGCAGCAGCAACAACAGCCTCAAACGAGGCATCTTGTACATGAGGGGGGAGGTCTCGGAGGAAGAGCTGGCGGAGCTGGGGGCGCGGCCGTCAACGGTCATTCCTCTCCAGCGGGTGTTGGAAGAGGCCGGGCAGGACGGGGACGTGGGTTTGGGAGGCGGAGCCGACGACAGGGGTTACTCATCGATATTTCACTTTACATCGGAGGCTATCTGGAACAGGGTACCCATAGCAAGTAGCGGGGGGGCTAGTGAGTGAAATTGTCAAGTTCAGCGGTCGTCGATGCCATCAATTTTGTTGTTGATTTGTGTTTTTCCACGTGCCTCTGTGACAAACGTCTCGAGCAAGTCAATCGTGCCGGAGAGCCAAAGCAATGTTTGCCGTTTCGGGGCTCGTGCTTTAAGCGCCTCGAGAGAAGAGGCGCTCTTGTTCAAAACATGAGTGTGTGTGTGTGCCAACTGCTTGGCTGCAGGTGAGCATTTCGCAAGATAATGGTGTTTGATTACGCTTGCGAAAGCCTTGCGAAAACATCTCTCCCTGGACTTGGGTTGCGAAGGTTTCCAAGACGTGTATGACGGCTATTCGTTGATAACCGAGACTACGGTGCAATAGAATCGTGTACGTGCGCATAGCGGCCAGACACAGACCCAGATCCGCTCGAGGACGTAACGTGTGAGACACGGTTTGCCGGCCTGAGGTGCCCGTCCCTGGCAAAATCTAGGCTCTACGCGCGCGCCCCGCCCACCTTCTTTGTGAAACCCTTGGTTCGCCTTTCATAAGCCCTATCCCCAACAAACCCACCGCGACCGTGTGACCAATTCCTTTATCCGACGGACCTCATGAGGGTCGCGGAACCATTCGGAATTCGGTGCTCCATACTCAATAGTTTTGACACAGCTCGGCAACATCTAGGGCACTGCAAAAGTTTTTTGAGTCGGCCTCACAAGCCGCGCTTGAAAGATCAAACCACAAGAACCTTGCACCATCGTGTATCCGACGCAGCCTACAGCAAACGGAGGGTGTTCACTTCCTCTATTAAACGTGAAACGGTCCTCCGATATTCCACAACGCACGCGGTCAAGCACGGATTAGCGAGGCACTGCAGTTGCCCGCCGAAACAGCGGTGCGATTTTCACAGAGCTGCCGAGGAAAGGTTGCTAACATCGTTGGGGCAAAGCCCGCACAACACATGAGGATTTGGAGGCACTTCACTTGTGTGCCGGAAGAGAGACAATGTGTCCGCGAAATCTTATCACCCCTCGCACGCCGAGAGCGGAATGATTTCAATAGACTTGATCGGCACAGCAGCCTCCAAGGATAGCTGTGCTGCAGCAGCCAAGCTTGCTCAAAGCCTGCACCAACAACAGCGTACGGACACGATCCGCTTGCACATTTTGACTCCGGTTGCGACGATGAGGACCGCAACGATACGTACGTTTCAGCTTTTCTTTCCGCGGCGTTGAACGAACGCGACCTCAACGCAAACGCTCAGTCACAAAAGTGGCATCAAGTGCTCAACGTCCGTCATCTTCGCTGCTGTCGGTGTACCGCATCATCAAAACAAACAAGACCACCACCGACGGCAGGACAACAGGACCCCTCTCCCCCCCGCCCCCCCCTCTC